TAAACAAATATTAAATTGAGAGGGAGAAATTCAAAAGGAAGCACAGAATATAATCAAATTTTCTTTGGCCTAAATCACAGAGAAGAGGGTATGACTTGAAATTTCATTTACCTCAAAATCTACTCTCCTCTCACTCTCATTTTATACTTCTTTGAATTATTGCTTTGATCCATGTCTCATCTCAGACTTTGCTAGAATAGCTGTTTAGTTAGAACCAACAGGGCTGACCTAGCAGCTATCACAGAATGGGTGCCCCGTGGGAACCATCTGAAGGCCGAAACAGTACTGTATCAGGTAATGATTCAAACTCCATGAGAAAACTAATGTTTTAAGTGGCAGAAGCGGTCACATCCCTGGCTACAACTTGCACTATGCTTTTCTATGTTCTGCATTACATTTAATCTATTATAATCATGAACTCAAATGTGGGGTCCTTAGACTTTCACAAAGTACAAAAATTGAACACTTTAAAAGATGCTCGTGTTCTATTTTTGATTCTTTCTTTCAGTAGCTTTAAAGTTAGAACACAATGTGCTTCTGTATTATTACAACAAATTTGTTCTAAGCTGCTTCTAAGAGAATTAGGACCAATGAAATGAAGTCTTGTTTCAAGACTAGGAAGAATCTCTTATCACTTATGAAATTCTAGATTGTAAGTCTCTTGGAGTCAGGAGTTTGCATTCTCAGCATGACACTTTGCCTGTTCTGGGTATTAAATTAATATCTTTCCATTCTAAGGTGATATCCAGCAATGCTGAGAACTACCTTACGGATTTAGAAATCTTCCTTTGAGTAGGAGCTTGTAGTTGATGGCCTTGAAGAACAGACACTATGATTTAATTATTAAAATAGAGATTATCAGCATAAATAGCCTATACATATATGTCAGCATAAATAGTCTATAGATCTATTAAATGATTTTCTTTTTTTAACTTAAGTGGTCAGATAAACCCCTTTTCATCTCATGACCTTTGACATATGCCTCCTTCTTCTTGAATCTCTCAGTCCCAGACTTTTCACATTCTTCTGTTCAGATGTCATCTCCTCAGAGAAGTCGCCCATGACTAACCTATCTGAAATAGCCACAACCCCCTCATCAGTGAATTAGCTTGCTCAGGTTCCCTATAGGACAGACATCAGGGCACAAGTAGCGAGGCATTTTTTATTTATTTATTGATACATGCCAATGACATACGTTGTTGCATTGCCCAGGTCTCAAACTCCTGGGCTTCAGCAATCCTCGCTCCTTGACCTCTCTAAGTGCTGGGATTATAGGCATGAGTCACTACACTCAACCTTGGACTTTGTTTCTAATGCCTTCTGGATAAATAGTGGAACATGGTTATATACACACAACAAAGGTTTCCCAAACAAACAAGACTTTTTAGGCAAAGTTTTATCTAAATTCAGACTTTAAAAAAATGTTTCACCATTATTTCCATGAGTATATATGTGTTGGAAGATATCCTTTTATTAATAAATTGGACACAACATTTCAGTCTGAATTTCCTAAATGTAGGTGATGTTGTAGCATTCAGAACTGTGGACAGATAAGTACTTTGCATTTAAAAATAACATCCAGGGCAACTCCCTGTGGTCCCCTCCCGCTGTGGGAACTTTTCTGTCTTCTCAATAAATCCTGCTTTCAAATCAATCAATCAATCAATAATAAAAGTAACATCTAATATGAATGTTTCTAGAATGAAGGAACAGCTTTCCCAAGGGTCACCTGAATCTCCAGTTGAGGTTGTGAAAATTGTTTATATTATTTCAAATTAAAATTTAATTTCACAAGAACTACAAGAATAGCATTTTCCCTAAATAATAAACGAAGCATTCTACATAGAGCAAAAGCCCCCTTGACATCCACTACAAGTTCAGAAACTCATTCCAGGGGTAACTACATCCTTCAGATCTCCTTTTATTCTCTTAGGAGAGACATAGCTGCTTCCTCAAAATCAGTGTTCAATATGTTCTTGGTTTGGAGAACATATGTGTGTGTTTCAGATGGCATGGCTTGTTCTAAATTTTTTTATGTGTGCTATTTTCTTACCCATATGCCTTGAAAATTTCTCCATGTCGGTTTATCAATTTGGATCTGTCCTTATAGATGTCCTTTAGGTATTGCATGAGAGTTTTTCTATAGCAGACTCTGAGAAGTCTGACTTCAGAGCTACACAGCTTCTGGAGTGTGTGTGTGTGTGTGTGTGTGTGTGTGTGTGTGTGTGTGTGTGTGTCTGTGTGT